AAAAATGTACCAGAGAAAAGGAAAAAAAGGTGATGGGTGTGGGTGTGGGTTTGGCGGAAAACGCCGAAAAGGAAAACATCGAAAATGAAAATATAGAAGGTGAAAATATCGAAAGAAAAAATGTCGAAACAAAAGATGGTGTAAAACACTTATTTGGATCGTCTCATGTGTTATTGATTCTTGTCAAATCAGTTCATTTTCTTGAACTGTAGCATATATCGTCATTTTTTGGGAAACAAACTCAACAATTCAATATAATTGCAACAATAGATGCTATATCCATATTCTCATCTTCACATTCTGATGCTCATGAGCATAGGTGCGACATCCAGCGTTGCAGTCACAATGAGTTATTGAATATTCTTTCCGATAAATGACGATAGATGCTACAGTTCAAGAAAATGAACTGATCTGACAAGAATCAACAACACATGAGATGATCCAAATAAGTGTTTTACACCATCTTTTCTTTCGACATTTTTCCTTTACGATATTTTCCTTTTCGGCGTTTTCCGTCAATCCCGTGGGTGTGGGTGTGGATGGATGTACGATTAATACTGACGCCCACATCTCCATCTACATACCCACCCACACCCCACACCCAGCCACCCACCCACACGCACACCCACACCCCGTCTCATACTCCCTTAAAACATCCAACTGATCCAAATATGAATGAGCTTAGTTTTGAAAAGAGAAATATTCATCTTAACGAACTTTTGAAGTTTTTGAACTTCTTTAGAACTTGTTAAAGTCTTATAGTTTACACTCTTTTGAAACGCAATCTTTCCTACTTGTTTTACTCTTTCAAATGTAGTATTAACATAAACTTTGAAAGACAAATAAATAAGAACCTTATTAAATAATATGAGGATTGTTTGCTGTTTGTTGAAAAAAAACCCCTGAGTTATGTAGGCGGTCCTATATGCATTCGGTCTGCATACTTTGTATCGTGATATTTTAGAAAACCGTGATTTGTCAGAAATTCGTTCGACCTATGTTCTTAGATGAAATCGTTTATCGTTCATATGCTAATAGAAATTCCTGTGCAAAAAATTCACATTGCTTTGTATCATATTCCTAAAGACTTCTTCTAATTTTCTTCTTTTTGCTCATTAGATCATACATATCGAAAGTAATCTTTTATTCATGCTTATTTTTGTAAGAAACTCTCATAACTGTTTCAATTCAAGATGGATTAAATATATTAAGCTCTTCTAATGAAAAGAAAATTTTCTCCAAAAAGGATATTGTTAAAATAAATTTGATCTTCTTCAAAGCATAAATAATATAGTATATCGATAATAAAGCTAACTAAATACTACAGGTAAATACTTTTGAAAGAATGGAAAACGACATACTCTGATTATATTACTAAAAAAAACTAATTTTTTTTCAATATACTTGAGACTATAGAATGTAATCTGACGAAAACTAGATAAGATCCTATAATTCTATTTATTCTTCAGTTATTATGAAAATATAAGAATCTTGATCAAAATTATTCACTTCTGAATTAAATAGATAAGTAAACCTTTTGTTTCTGTTTTCTTGTAATCCTCTATGTCTTAGAACAGCTCGAATATGATATGAAATATACATAGAAAGAAAAAACTTTTTTGACTCAATTATCTATTTCTGTAAATTAGAAAAATTCATTCAATAGATTGATTGTTTGGTTTTTTTAGTTTTTAGATGGAGTAATCAACTTCTAACTTTTGGAAATAATCATGATGAATATTTCGAGGTTTATCAAACTACGTAGAATAGATACAAACAAGTGAAATAAACACTAGTGTACTTCGAAAGAAAAGAGAAGGAAAGAAATTTCTGTTCGAAATACCGAAATGATTAAATGAGATGAAAATGCTTGTCTAGTCATCAGTTACTCATACTAGATTCACCGAAGATGTTACACGTCATTTTTGAATCTAGTATGCACAGACTTTTTTGGAATGTTACTAACATAAATAAGATATACTAGAAGGATAATCATTATGAAGAATAAATATTTCACTTACTTTAGTTTTTAAATTAAATATTTTGAATAGCCAATAGACTTTTTCAAGATAATATTTTGATAAAGTAGATATAATCTATTCTGGATGAAGTAATTTCTTCGAATATACATATATGGATATATCGTTACATGATAAACAATAGAAAACGTTTTTCTGATCGTTATATTGTTGTATAGAAAGAAATAGGTACCATCTTATATTACAGCATGTCAAATGGTTTCGTAATTTCACTTGGTGAGGATTCCCCGTACTTGCTACGTTATACCAATGTCATCTCCTACTAATCTGGCGTAGTGCACTCTGCGTTTACAAATTTTAGGTTTATAGGGTCGCGTGTGAGTGCCGTTGAGATTGAAAAAAGGAGAAACATCTAAGCGCACATTCACATACCCTAAAGGTATCAATAATTTCAGTAAACACTTATTTCAAGAGTATGATGAACTTGGTCTCAATTTTCGACAATGTCATCTGTGCTCATATGTTACATTTCGCAAAATCAAAATATGTTTGTCATCAGAGAAAAATATTTATAATTTAAGCTACACAAAAAGCGAAGTTTATGAAAGGTCAGTACAGATATATTTCTAAATTATAATTATTCTTCCTTAAAAACTTTCTATAATAAATTAATTGAATATTTATATCATTTTCATAATCATAAATTCTATTTTTTACTATTGATATGCGGCTTATATAAATGGTAAAAACTGTACAGTATTAATTGATACAAATATAAAGTATCCAATTGATTCGTCTATTGATTTTTTTTATTAAAATTCTCATTAATAAACAAAAATATGAGTGGAAAAGTAAAAGAAAAAAAATTGTCAGTTCGTTTGGTTTTTTTTTACTATGAAATTCAAACTAAATAAAATAATTCAAACGGATAGTTTGAAACATAAATGACTTGCTATTGATCGACACTAAATAATGTTTTAATGAAAATTTTTAAAGAATTTAAGTATCAACTAACAATTTACGACAAAAAAGCAATAAATGATTCATTTAATTTACTCTCAAAAAAAAAATCACATGCATAGCGTTCATCAATATGTATCAGGTCATGTTTATATAAAATTACAAGTTTAAAATCTCTAATTGAAGTGTATTTTTTCCTGTAAACGAACTTTTTCAATTATTTTTTTTGTAACAGTAAAAAGATCAAACATTGTTTCCATTTCCAAAGTAAAAAGCAAAGTAACTAGAATCTTTTATTCAAACTGATTACTACAACTGATTTAGCTGTGAATTTATCAAATTTTATGAAATGAATAAAATGTTTATCGTAATCTTCTTTTATTTTTGTTGCTAATGAATTTTCTATATTCATATTGAAGAAAAATAGTGCAGTGTCAGACTCAACAAGATATATAAAGAGATTCATATTAAAAAAACATGCATATATATATATATATGTATATGTTGTAGGCAAAATTGAAATTCAGGCAAATTTTAAATTTGCCTAGACATTGCTTGGGCAGAATTGAAATTTCAATTTTTCCTAGGCAAAATTAAAATACAGCTAGGAATAAATTCATACAATCACGTTCTTTATCAAAAATAAAATAGACTAATATGGGTGAATAGATTAAAAGATTTTGTCGAAATGTATTCTCTTGGAATTGTTTAGTTAAATGAAGAAATATTTTTCAATAATAAAGTTTTTCTATTCAGATTTTAATTTTTTCATTGTATGAATTTATTCCTAGCTGTATTTTAATTTTGCCTAGGAAAAATTGAAGTTTTAATTCTGCCCAAGCAATGTCTAGTCAAAATTGAAATTTTAATTTTGACTGGGCAAAATTAAAATTTCAATTTTGCCTAGGCAAATTTAAAATTTGCCTGAATTTCAATTTTGCCTACAACATATATATGATTTAAATTAATGACAATTACGAAAAACTAACTGTGATTTTGGAATCATTTTGAAATGAACACTTAATTCTTGCTCAGAAGAAGACAATAATGATTGTGTCATCAATTTTTTAAATATTTGATACATATATTCAGATAAAAATTGTATAGATGGTGCCATTAATTTTGCCATTATTAAAAGAATATAACAAAGAACATTTAATAAAACAAGACAATCATCGAATGTTGTAGTACCCTAAAAAAATAAATTGTTTCCTCATTAATCAATCAGATGAGTATTTATTTAGCCTTTAGGAAAAGTAAATCAAATTTAATCATAATACTTAAAATAATTTATATGCCTATGAGGGTAAAAATTGTTCATTCTTACCTTAAAACGTTTCTGGTTTAATTTAACATACCAATTAGTTAAAATATCAATATATTTAACAAGACGAGACACTACTGTACATAAACGATAAGCTAAAAAAAAGAAGAATTCATTTTTTATTTCTTCAAATATAAATTCTTACTATCCACTTTTTGTTTAACAAAATCGAGTAATGTTTATGTATAATAAGCAATCCATGTATCCATAAGATTTATATTTGATGATATTGATGAATATAAACATTTTTCATCATTAATAAAAAACAAACCTTTTTTGTCAATATTTAATTCATCACAAGATTGAACAAGAAGATGTAATGCATTATATAAATGTATAAATAAACCTTTCACAACATTACGAATATCTTTTAATTTAAGAGATTCATGTTTCATGCACTGGAAAAAGAAAAATATAAAACGATTACTATGGTTTCAGAATTTTGTTCAATGAGGAATCTTCTTTTTTAGTGTACTCAAAAAGGGAGTACACTACTAAAATCGGTCTGTGTGTCCGTCCGGCCGTCCGTCCGTTTACACGATAACTTTCGAAAGGAGAGTCAGATTGCGATGAAATTTTCTACACAGCTTAGTCTTGACAATATCTCGGTCGAGTTCGAAGATGAGAAGGATCCGTCAAGAAATGGCTGAGTTATCGAAAAAATTGTGATTTTTGACCAGACCATCCCTGAGGGGGGGTACGGGGATTTTTCGAAAAAAAATTTTTTGCTCATAATTATTCACAAAATACATAAATCGACTCAGTTTTTAACGCTAATTCGGAATCTGATATTAGTTTTGAACTGAATCATAGTTTTGTGTACTCAAAAAGTGAGTACACTATAGAATAGTCAGTGTGTCCGTCCGTCCGGTTGGCTGTTTACATGATAACTTTTGACAGCAGAGTCAGATTGCGATGAAAATTTCTACACAGCTTAGTCTTGACAATTTCTCAGTCGAGTTCGAAGATGAGAAGGACCGGCCGAGCCGTTCCTGAGTTATTGCAAAAATACCCATTTTGCCCTATAGCTTTCTGTGGAAAAATGGACCCATCGCGACTTTCGTAAAAGACTTTTCCTATCATAGTCAATTAAAACCCCAACTATTATATACCATTCGATAGAGAATTTCAAAAACTACAAAATGATATATAAAACATAAAGAAACAAGAAGGTTGACTTACCTATGACAAGGATAATTAAAGAGAACTAGGTTATATTTTTGTCCACGATCTAATTGATCCACAAATAGAGCTTTATCTTCCGGTTACACTGATGATACTTCGAGGTTTTCAGATATGGAGAACTCGAATGTGTACTGCACTTCCATCGAAATACTATTAGTCGTGCAGTGACCAATAGAAATGAAGTTATAGGGAAAACGACTTTCTTAGGGTAAATCAAGGGAAAGAGTTCAAACTTGAGCTGTATTCGGTCCCATGTCCTATTGGTTTGGCAACGCGCAATAGAAATCAACATTTTAAAAGGTAGATTTCACAGTATAATTTTGATATTCAGACAGTCTAGGATGATTGATTTGTATGATTCACTTTTTGAAGTACACATAACTCTCGGATTTAAATCCGAAGTTTCCGCATTTATTTTTCTGAATAATAGATATCACATACAATAGTTTTATTTTATCAATGGCTAGGATTTATTTTCTAACTTAACTAATAGAAAATATTTGAATCAGGCATCTTGATTGTCAAAATGCTCATCATTTAGTACAGTGTTTTATTTACAAACCAAAGTATCTATAGTAATATACATGATTGTTCTAAGTGCAAGTATGCAAGAAATAACTGTAAGTACTCCAATCATGATAAAGTATCGTTTGTTTGACATTCAAAATGGTTGATTTGAACAGAGCCGTTTGCTTTTTTGTTTCTAAATACTTCATGTGTCTTCACTGCCTGCCTAAAGATACGAAAAATAAACAGCAACGATGTAGCTGAAAATTGGTCATAGACCATAAGCAAAAAAACTGAATACAGTCTTTTATATAATTAGTTTACTTAAACGATAAGATGAAATTCAGAATGTTTCAACGAAGTTTCAATTGATATACATAGACTACTGTCATTTGAGCAGGTAAAATATGAGAGCAAAGAGAGTATTGGCCAAAATAGAAACTTGATCGGTTTGAATAAGAAGAAAAATTCTTCATATCAAACAATATTATACTCTTGATTCGACTAACGCTATCAATAAGCTTAAATCCTACAATTAAATGTAACTCTAATTTTTATAAAAATGATACCTTTTAGTACTATTCGAACAAGAAAGAGTTAGCTGATATGAAACTTGAAAAAAAAATACATAAAACAAATAAGAATGCATTCTATTCAATTTTTGACAAATTAGATGCGAAAAAGTAAGATTTGATGTTTTAGTTCAAAAATCGACTTTATTAACTCTTCTGTAGGATATAATTGTTCCACCTTAATAGATTTTATTGTTTCACTACAGCAAAGATATTCGAATCTTTTCTTATGGAAAATACAAAAGTCACTCAATTGATAATATATTAATAGATTCATGATCGGGAGACATTGAACATCTATCATCTTATATTCATTATGTTTATTATTCCTCGATAAAACTAGAAGAAACTTTAATTTGCTTTCTGGAAGTCCACCCAAAAATATCGAATATACTTGAAACTATGCTAAGGCTATTTATGTGGAATAATACAGGTCGAAATTCTACTAGTTGAATTCCCAGCGGGATACATGAAATAGATAGAAAATTCGATAAAACGATCAGAACAAAGTTCGTTGTCGAGCTTTTCTATTCGTACCAATGGCAAACAACTAATTTGGCGATTACAAATAATTTCAACTTGTATTCAGCTATGGACATCAGTATGTTCCTCATTGATTAAAAAAAGAACTAATTACAATAGCAAAGCAACTACACTGATAGACAATGTCTGCAGGAAATAACTTCAATGATCAGAAAATGATGTCATTATTAAATCAAAATAACATCATATGAATCTTAGTATCAATTCAAATCGTTTGTGTTCATTTCACTCTCAAAACAAGTTAAGACTAGAACTGAAGTATTGGCAATAACTTAAAACATAAATTCAGTACACAAAAATAGAACAGAGTATATTTTCATTAGGAGCAACGTAGTGTTTTGCACATATTTTGACGCACATTTTTTTTCACATTCACATTGTATATGTGAGAGCGATTCATGAAAGCATAAGCGAAAGAAAAGAAAAACGTGCAAAGAAGAAAAATAAGGTTTTTTTTCGTTTTTGAAAGAATAAGGTGAACTAGTTTTGAGTATATTTTAATGAACGTCTTTGTTTTTATATAAACATACAATATTACTTATGAGAGAAAAAAACCACTGAAGAATGAAATTGTTGCTAAAATTCATTTCATCTGAATTTGAGTGAACTGTTAACCATTTCTTGAAAAATTCGTAGTTTTGCTTATTCATATTTCTTTTTCGGTATGGGTAAAACTCTAAAACAACGAAAATTCAAAAAGATCTGATAAATGATAAGATTTCTCTAGTAATGATTTGAATAAACCGCCATCTGACGTTCGATTAATTCACAAAACTGTATACTCTTCTTCATATCACTCCTTTTTTCTCGTCAAATTTTGAAATTAATACAACATAATACAAAAATAATTAGATAAACGAACCAGTCCATTCTGCTCTCCACTATTATGATCTGACGAGTTTATAAAAAGAAACAAAAGCAAACAGATAAAAAAATTCAAGTATTTGCGTACAATATTAGATCATTATTCCATTCTGATCAGCAATAGATCAATAACAGAATCAGCTCGCATCAATTGTTTTTATTTTCGTTTCATTTTTAAATCAACTAAAGCCAGCATAAATACATATAATCACAACTCAAACATTCAATATTTTCACAGGATTATTTTATGACAAAAAAGGATACATTATCATCACATAAAACTGATTATTTTTCGCACATTGCAATGCAGTTTATTCATATTGATATGATATGACAAGGAAAGATAAACGAGAAAGTAAAACAAAACTGATGAAACAAGTTTGAAGGTTGAAAATGAATGATTTATTCGTTTCGAGAACATGCTGACCGTATTAGGAGTACCTTTTTATGATTAGTTATGTCTTTATGTCAAAGCAAAGTATCGATATTCAAAGCACAATTACGAGAACAAGAAAAATGTTGAAAAAATATATTTTACATCAATACTACCAATATACTCATTATTTTATGATACATCTATAATCTTGGTTGTGCAGATTTATCTCTCCATTTTTTACGATAATGAAAAAAAAGTATTTTGAAATTATTTCGTCAATGAGATGTTTGTTCCCTTATTTGTTTGAATATATTTATTATCTCATGTTTCAATAATAAATAAGCATGCACATTTTCTTCATCTGTTCCTTTTTCTCAATATTTTTCGTCTTTATCATTTAATACTGATGCAATAAATTATTTGAGTTATGAGGAAAAAAGAATTATTCCATTTTCATCCTGAATCACTACCATATGATGTTGAGCAAAAAATCAAAAACTGCTAGTGTTTCGATTAGTGCATCGAAAAAAAGATCAGTTTGAGCCTCAAGAACTTATACAATAATTGTATTGAAATATTTATCGTATCAATATAATGATGAGTACAAATCAAGGTTGTTTTCCTTCTGTTCGATTTTAAAATGAAAGGTATTTGAAATAAAACTACAGAATTAAATCTTAAATATTCAATGTTCGTAGTGAGTAATTCAATAATACCACGGAGAAAAACAAGATTTATTTTCATTATATACTATTGATTGTTTTGTGCACATTACAATGTACTTTTTGTAATAATATCCTATGAGCAGAAAGGATAAAGGTGAGAAAAACAAAACGAAAGAAAAAAGCTCGACGGACGAAAACATATAATATTTTTGTTTTAAGATTAAACTGTACCTTTTACGGATACTTTTTGTTGATTATTTGTGTCTATATGTCAAAGTACAGTATCGATATTCAAGGCATAACTATGAGAACAAGAAAAATGTTGAAAAAATATATTTTACAACAATGCAACCGATATAGGCATTGTTCTAGATACATTTGTGATCTTAGTTGTACAGATTTCTTTCGCCATATTTGACGACAATAAAAAGATATATAAATTTATATTATTCGAATAAATGATTAGATTAGGTTATGATCTTGTTTTATAGCAATCAACAGAACTGTTTTGTTTTGAGATCGTTTTTTTTGTTATGCTTTGATCTTCGTGGTTTGATGATGATACGCCATATTATTGAAGTTATCATAAACAATGAATTACTGTTTTTCTTCAGAGAATTTTGATATGAAACTAAGAAGAAAATAACTAAAGACATATATAAAGAAAAGAATTTAAGATTCTTTTTATCACATCCAAGCGGGACCATTCGAAGCATTTCCACATTATATCACTGTTAAATTAAAATTTTTATCATATGAATTTTATCATTAGTTTTAAAATCATATTCAGTTGGATTTTTTAGACAGCCTGTATTGCAACTCTTCACTTATGTTTATTCAATATGGATAGAGGATAAATGAGAGAACAATAAAAAAAAAACGATAGAATCCGTAAGAAACGAAAAATTATGGTGTGTTAGTTTGCTTATTATCGTTCGAGGCATTTGTTAATGCTTATTAGTCTATCTGTGTACATGAATGGGTTTAGGTTATGTGAATTAGGAATGAGACAAGCAGAAGAAAAAAAGGGAAACTGAATCAGAAAGAGAAAAATATTTCGTTGTTTTTTCTTCATTTTTTGCGACACGGTTGAATAACGAAAACAAGAAGGACTTTTACAGTATATATACGCAAGACAATGGTATATTGTGAAGCATAAAACAAATTCAATACTATAATGGTATTTCGTCTTGATCAAGAAATTATTTCTACAAATACAAGCAGTAAATATATGTATTTTCGAAACTTTTGTCTCTTCGAGCAGGCTTTTACCTTCGAAAGGGGTATTACTTACAATGTAGTGTTTGTTTTTATACTTTGGTAGTCATTCATTACTGTTTAATAGGTTTCATGATTCTTTATTCGAAGAGTAGAAAATATTCGCTGATATAAAATTAATCGATATCCCAAGTGTCTTTAATTAGGATGTAAAGTGTAGTGTGTGACTTCTATCTGACAAATGAAACGTTTACTCTTATTTTTCATTCACTCTGAAGGCTTCTATCTAGCAGAAAAATAGAGTAAGTGTTGAACTGAGAATAGGTATTCTAGACTGTTTTGGAGAAATAGTTGTTGTTCATTTACTATTTCGCAAAGAACCCGCTTATGACAATACTTTCAGTAGAAATAATTTTAATAATTTAATGCATAGTTTTTGGAATCCCATTCTATAATATTGACATGAATACTAAGCATAAAGGTGGCAGATTCTAAACAGTGGACATAACTTAGATTCAGTCTAAAGAGCTGAACGAGAATGTATAGTCTGATAGTTAAGTTTTATTGCAAAAGATGGAACATTTTCCTACGATATAAAATCTGAAAAAGAAATGAATCATCGATACTGAAGAAATTATCAACAGTTTTTCTTTTTATTTAATTTCAACTATCTATTAAAATTGAACGTAAAATATTATGCCTTTATAAATCGTTTAGTTATACTTCCACTAGCAGATAATAGTGTATTGAACATTGATATAAGTAATAACAATTTTACAAACTATACTTTGTTACCAATATCTATGAAAAGTTCAAGGAGTAAGAAGACAGGCTTAAATGCTATTTACATGGGTTTATTTCATTTTTGTAGAACCAATATCAATAGGTGAATCAAACTTTCCTTAAACTATGCCGTAATTGAATAGTGTTCATTGAATTCTTTGTTTTTCTTGAAAACATCAACACTCACATAATATCTATGTCATATCAGCATTCAAAATTGTGTCTATTGATTTCTTATTTTCAGCAATGCTCCTTGTAATTTTCATTCATGTGTAACAGTGGTTTTTATGTTACTAGAATAGTGTAGAAAAAAGAACGCTAACTAAAACCGCGATCGAACTGAAATTTAGATTTCAGTCTGATAATGTTTTTTGTGGAATTAGAGCAGGCTTGTCAAATCTCCTGATTTTGGCAGGGCTCTCTTGATTTTCTCAATTTTCTCCTGATTTAATGCTTTTCAATTATTTGACAATTAGCAACACGTTGAATCAGTGCAGGCTCTGAAGAAAAGAAGTTTTTCATTTTTTTAATGGATTTAATAGTACTATCCAATAAGATAACGCATTTCTTTTCGTCCTCTTCTGCAACATGAAGTTTTAATTAAACGAAATTATTTGTAGAATACTTGTTTTCAATATATTATTTATAAGTGTAGAATATTACTTTTGATTATGGTATTTCTTAATTTGAATTTATCTTTATATATTGTGCATGTTCTAATAGGTAGTGACGACATGATTATGAAAATAAACATTATGAAATGAATAATCTTACTTTATTTATTTCATTTAGAAGGGATTTTCTTCCTTCAACGACACAGTAAATTCTGTTGATTTTGAAACCAGAACTGTGTAGATTAGTGAGAATTTGCATTTTGTCAGATAAAATCCAACACTAAACTCCCGATTTTCGAAGAAAAATCTCCTGATTTTGAAAAGAAGAACTTCTACTTTTTGAAATTATAATTTGGTATCTCTGAATTAGAGTCTGAAACACGATGTAGATGTTGCAACCATATATGCTTCCAAAATCTTATGAAATGGTGTTTCAAAAAGAATAAAACAAAGTTTTTGATAAATTCTCATTCCAGAGAAAGAATAAAATACTTTATATTCATTGTTAGATCAATTGTAAACAGTTTTAACTGTAGTCATAAATTATTTATCAGAAAATTCATTGTAGATATTGAACTTTTCACTCATTTCTTCTTGCAAGTCGCCGACTTATGTTTAGAGCACATAAAAAGAATACAGCATTAATCATGCCAAAAGCATTCTTTTTTATGATCAATATAGCAGTGCTTGTATTCGCAAATGCATTCGCTGACACAAATGCTAATTTTGGTATGTATCATTTCAGAAAATGTTACACAATACAGTGCACATCTCGTATCATATTTTCTAGATAGTGGTTATAGACTTGTTCCTGGAACTTACATGGTAGAATTTGACCAAAGTGCTGGCATCAAAAATTTCCATCAGATCATTACAAACCATCTGAAAAGGTCTCATGGAATTCCAGAATCAGTCGTCAGAATGCGACAGACTGTTTCTACGTCGCTGTTTTCTGGAGCATCGTTTTCGGTGAATGCTGAGCATTCAACCGAAGTAATCAAGTCCATCCCCAACATTGTTGCTGTTTATCCAGTTCATTCTGTTTCTGCTTCAAAGACTTTCATTAACAACAATCAGGGGGATTCTGCCATGGGACATGATTTGACAGGTGTCGCAGAAGTTCATGAGATTTTGAAAAACTTTGGAAAAGGTGTCCGGGTAAGAATTTTAGAGAGAAATCAACTTAGATGATTCATTTATAGAAAAAAGGAAAACGACAAAATGTAAAAGTGTATTTTTTTAAAAGTAGAATGAAAAGTATAGCTGTAATGCAACTGATGAAGTATTCAGTTTTTTCTATTTGTTTGAAAAGATTCTTTGCTATACTTTTCTTAGCTAGAAAATATTGATAAAGTATTTAACAATATTCGAGATATATTTTAAGAATGATTTCTTTCCTATGCTAATTAAAAACTTGGAAAATTTCTGATAAAAATTTCAAAATTCTAGTAAAAATTGGAGAATAATTAGAGCATTAATCTTCTTGATTAAAAATGATTTTCTATAACAGAAGGAGTCCCTAATAACTTCAAATTCGCTGTTTCAAACATGTGAAATTGAGTCTTACTGATGAATACTGTTGATTAAGTTTCACTCAATTCCTTTTAAATATGCCATTAGTGAAACTCTGAAGAACTCAATGTTCTAAGTGTAAAAGTGTAGGTCACAGTGGAACATGCACTGTAATTGATTGAAATTTCTTTCGATCACATAGGCTCATCGATGACATATTTTGTGCTATGTAGGTTGCTATAATTGATAGTGGTGTTGACTATTTACATCCTGCTTTGGGAGGATGCTTCGGACCTCAGTGCAAAGTTGCATTTGGCTATGGTAAAAACAATTTCTAGTCTTACCACAACTTACATAAAGATAATGATTAAAATATTTCTAGATTTAGTTGGGGACCAATACAGTCCAATATCCAGTCCAATTCCAGTGCCTGATGATGATCCAATGGATAATTGTTCTTTTAGCGCGACTGGTATTTTTAATGTTATGCACCATTTACTTTTGTCCTGTAATGACTTTTATGCTCATCTTAGGTACTCATGTTGCTGGAATTATTGCTGCAAATGCTACAGGAATATCTCAGACCAGTTTCATTCCATATGTGCCTTTCGTCGGTGTCGCTCCTCAGGCAACTCTCGGTGCATGTTAGTTTTTCACTTTTCGAATAGTAGTAACTTATTTCCGTTGTGATTTTTTCGTATTGCAGACCGGATCTATGGATGCGCTGATGATGGTGCCGCTACAGGTACATATACATATAGATAGAAAAATTTGTCATTATGCTAGTTCTTATCAACATGCTTCTAGATATTATAGCTGCAGCCATCTATCGTGCTTTCGATGACAAAGCCGACATAAGTGAGTTGATATAACTGACGACTTACCAAGGAGAAATAAAAACAACTGAGTAGAAGGAAATCTTTCATTGATAATACTTGTTAAGAGTCTCCAAAAGTTTTCTCAACAGCTCGAAACCAATTCTTCTTATTTCAGAAAATCTTTCCATAACTTTCCGATTCTGGTCTGTTTGATGATGAATCAGAATGTATTAGTACCATGTAGAAATAAAATGTGACTATTTACGTTTTAGCACAAAAAATCGAAAAGGACAATGTCTAGCCTTTTTAAAAATTTTTTCAATTCATATTCATGTGATTCTACAGACTGTCATGATTATTTCAAACTATTTGAAAGGACTCTGAAAAACTCCAAACTTACTTCTATGAATAAAAGGAATTTGCCATCTAAGTACATCGAACTATGCATGTCAATGTTGTCGTTCACAATTTAGATGAAACGTAGTTATCGATCATAACGAGTGATACGATTAAACTCGAACTATTACAAACGTAATCTTGATTTTGAATGGCGCTGGAAAAATAATCATTTTTAGGCATCAAAAATCAATAAATAGATATTCTTGTGATTATATCGGTTAATCTGACTTCATTATGTTTAGTCACGGTACCTAGTGGACATCCTGAGGCGTACGCAGAGAATGTGGATGCAATAGCTGCTCAACGTGTATCTGACAGAGGAGGTGACTAATTTTCTTACGATTCTAGAGAAGTTCTCATTTTTCTAATCTTTCTTTAAGTCTATGTCGCGTTTTCGCATGGTATTAATGGTGGACAAGGTGTTCAAGCATGCGGAAGTCCAGGTATTTCGTTGGGTGCAATGTCAGTAGCTTCCGTAGACAACGGTCATACGATTCAGTTCTATTTGATCACACCTAATGGTGAGAAAATTTTCTATTCGCCCGGAGGTATTTTCGGTCCATGGCCATTCATTGTAAATTCGACTATCATTGTCAATGGTATGTTTTCACTGTACTGGCTATAAATAATCGTTTCCTTTCAAAAACGATTAGATCCTCATGCTACAGTGAATGATGGATGCAATGGTCCAGCTAAGTCGGTTACAGGCGCTGTTGTTCTGTATATGTTTAACACCGGAGATTCATGTGGCTCGGCCGTTCGATGTAACAAAGCTGCAGCAGCCAATGCATCCGGCTGTCTCCTTTACAATGTTGGTCCCATCGCCGGTTTGATTTGCTTCATTTCCTTTTCTTTTAAGTTTGAGCTTGTCTTTCAGGATCGTCATTTATTCCAAGTGGATCTATTAGTTTAGCAGATGGTCAACGTATTGCGGCCATAACAACACAAAATCCCTCAGCTGTGTTTACATTCACTAATTTAGTTAATTTGTTATCCACGGTAAGTAAAGATAGAACTATCATTATAGCATTGAATCAAGTGCAACTAGTCTTAAGATCAATTTCTCGACGTCATTGAAAAAAAGTATACACTGTCACATAGAATCTAGTCAACCGTATTTCCAACAGTTAACAGGCAACATAATTGCTACGCAGTAGTTTCTTTTTGGAAATGTGGATACTAGAGAGACGTGAAACAACTGTAAGAAGCAACTTATTCCATTTGAAGAGCTTGTTGAGTATGCTAAAAGTTGTTTAAAGTTTATTCGAAATGCAAATTATTTTACATAAAAAAATATTTTCGTTTTCGATTTGATTCTAAGTTTTCAGTTTTCCTCTAGAGGATTCTAAATTTTTTGTAAGTTTTGAGAAATAATTCACTTATTTAAGAGATTGTAAGAAACGATTTTTCTCAAAATAACAATTAAAAAAGTATTAATTTAGCTGCCATAAAACCAGTTTCGGATTAATGAATCTAAATTGACTGATGAAAAACTGAAGTTTATAACTGAAACTACACAATATAATTAAAATAGATACGAATAATAGTCATATGATGATATTTACGATTTTAATTTTAAAATGTTTTTATTTCTTTTCATTGGCATTAAGTCGACCGGTGGAACACCTTCTTCTTTCACATCGTTGGGTCCTACAGGTGATCTTTTATTCAAACCTCAAATCAGCGGTATTGGTGGCTTTGTTTATTCAATCATTTCACATTTCTCTGCCAAACAACAACACCTCTCTAACGCATATTTCGTCTACTCGGGAGCAAGTATGTCCACGTCATATGTTGCTGGGTATGAATAAACTTGTCTCTATTACATAGATATAGAGCTTCATCTCATTTGAAGTATTGTTTCAGTTTTGTTCAGAGAGCTAAGTCATGTTTTTCATGGGCTGTTAGGAAAGAATTTCTTTGATTCAAATAATGCCATAGCTTTAATCAACCGAAGTTGATGAAAATTGAATAAAAGACGTTTATTGACACATATGTAATATCTAGCTATTGGCTACCGTTAGGAACTAGTAAACATCGTACGAGATTCCACCGATGATATAAAACTAACAATACTTCTGAATTCACAGCACATAAACTTCCTTAAATTAGAAAATCATGAAAGCTAGTATAGAGCATACGATTTAAATATTGCAGTTTCGTTAATGATTTTTATAATGTATTCTGGTTTTGAAAATGAATCTAACTACTTTGAGTACCTTTCATGAGTTTTAAACTATTTGTGCTCGATTCATTGAGAGTGTTGACTTTATTTACTATGATCATGTCATTTAATTTGGATAGAGTCACTTTGATTTTCTGTTGCCTTGAGCAATTTGAGATTCTGAAAGCTAAACTAAGTTTTAGAGATTATCAAATTCAGTCAAAGCGAATTCAAACCATACACTATCATGAAAAGTCTAGTGGCAAAATCAGTTAAAACCATGGTATCATAAACTATGTATTTCAGGCTTGAAACTAAGTGTTGACAGTTGAATCTCGAGATAGAAACTAGCAATGAATGATTTATTTGTTATGGTAAAATGAGAAATGGTATTCTTCAAAAGAACAGTAGCTATGTATCAAGAGATGGGAGTTTTTTATTCTAATTATTACAAGACATAGACAAGTTACTTCGACGCTATTTTTATAATATCAATCATCATTTTTTGAATAAGTCCTGTGTATTTATAACTACATTGAAAAAAATAAGAATCATACTGAATCTGTTGGAAATCGAATTCGAAATCCACGGAGAATTTTCATAAAAATCTTTGACCTCATCAAAGTGACTGTCATCCATCGAAAACACTTTTTTGAAAGTTTGATAGGATTTGTTATGGTTTCCTACAAAACCTAAAACATTCAAAATCCGTGTCAGAACTCAAATTCTATAAAGGTTTCGTATATTTTACGAAAATCCTCTAACATTCAGTAATGTCACCATTTTTTTCAGTGTATTAAGCTTATTCTTTTGTCATTTGGCAGTATCATTCAGATGACGTCTGACTGTATGAAAACCACTACGATACAAAATATATTATGTAACTTTTTCAAAACAAATCTATCTTTTCACATGTCATTCCGAGTATTTTCAGAGAAATAGAAACTCATAGTATACCAGATTGGCCCTCGGCTTGGCCCTAGCTCTATCCTATGTTTTTGCATACTTTGATGTTTGGAATCGATATGTTGTAGATTTTTCATAGTAACGAGCAGGATTTGTATTTTATACGGAATAAAAGTAAGTTATAAATAGAGATATACATTTTCGGTTGCGCTACACCTGCTAATACCATCACTTTTTAAAAATATCTGATTTTACAAGTGCAATTACACGGAATAGCTAGCATTTTACAACTAGAAAAATTTCTTTACCAGACATTATAAATAGCATTTTTAATAGAAATAAACAATTAGATACGTCATAAAGTATCACTGACAACAATAATCTCAGTTTGCCTATTGTGATTTGTTTACTAATTTCTAAGTGGTTGACTATAATTTAATTACAATCAAACTGAACCTATTTTCTGAGATGAAAAAAAAATCTACATGAGCTCGGACAACGAAGAATGTTTCTGAAAGCGTGAATCTGTTAAAAAGTGAAAGACATTTGGATAGTCTAAACATATTTAGGCATTGATATCATACTATTTAATGATTTATTGCAAGAATAAGCAGGACCAAACACAGTATGAAGAACATGTAAACCAACGCGATAGAGGAAAACAGAATAGAACTATGATCGATCAAAGTGGTGTCTCGTTTTTTTCCTTCTCAACAAATGATGTATATGTAAATCTCTTTTTCTACCATTGATAGCTGTGAAAGAGAATAGTCAAAACACGAAATAAAATACCGTGAAGGTTTATACAGTAGAAAATAATGTTACTAACTGATTCAGCATGATGAAAAATGCAGATTGGTACGCATAGCTTTTATCATGTAGCATATAAAAACAGATAATATCCATTACCGTTAACACAAAAAGCTATAAAACTTTGATATAAGAGTTTGATGATACAGAAAGTAACGGTTGAACTACATGATAATGGAATTTGAGTCTATATTACGACGAAAATTGTGGAACGGACGCATTGAAAAAATATCGTTTAATAAGACACGGACAATATTTCTTTGTGTTGAATAGTCTTCATGTAGTCAGATGCTTCTTGAGTTGCTTCATTAAATAGCTTAAAGACCAGATATAGTAGCTATTAATGGTCAAGAATTATTCAAAAGGATTATGATTAGCATTTTGAAAAGTCAGACAATATTTCTCGTAGAAAATCGTGAGATTGTATTTCAAAGAGAATTTCAACTAGAATTTTCACAAAAATGAAATTGTTCAATAGACAAAGGAACATACTGAACGATCTAATAATATATGCACGGACTTATCAGTAGAACTTGACATGCTGCGTATCATATAGCTTCATTGATAATCACAACGATACTCTACTGATGATGAGTGCTCATATTTAGAGAAAAAATAAAAGAAAAACAGATGCAATTACCTTTACAAAATATTCATCGCATTTTTAAAATTCTATTACTTTTCATATTGTAGCATTCATTACTGAACACCGGAGGAAGTTAGAAGAACACGAAGTTATTTAATGTTACGTCTAGGTTCTGAAAAGTATTTCACGCAGTATACAGAAGTAGACTGAAATCATTTGTATATGAAGCGTAGACGAACGATACGATTGAAGAGTGACGTATATCTTTCTAAGCTAGTCAATTGTCAATCAATTCTTATGTAATACTAACGAGGGAACATATTTAGGTGTTCAAGCCGTTTAGATCCCATCTTTTGGTGATAGATAGATCTCGATGAGGTATGAAAAACCCCAAAAGGATAAGTGCCCTTAGGCCTTCTGCTCAGAGTTATAGGCATTTTACTGAAATTTTAGCCTCAGGGATGGGATATACCAACGAATCAAATGATGGTATTTCTATTTGAAATCGTGCCCACATACAGGTCTATTTTTGAGTAAGGGTCTCTGAAAATTTCAGCTCAAAACAATGTTTCCTTCCCGAGATATAAAAGTCCCAAAAATCACTCATATCCCACTGGGTGAGGGTGTGTGGGTGTGGGTGTGGGTT